GTGTAAAAAACATTCAACCAAACCACTCAAGTGCCATTTTTGTATCTCATAATCAGCATTGCGTAACACATTCCCCTTTGAACTATTGATATTAGGGAACGCGTCCTGCACTTCTGCTTTCTCCTTGAACGCAATTTCTGTAGGTCACTCGCGGCAGCTTCGCATCATGGGGAACGCAATCTGTAATTAGGGTTCTCCGGAACGCTCGGTCCACGCCGGGGCGAAACACAAAAAACGAAACACCGCCGGACCGTTAACCAGTTGCCAGCTGGTAACTGAAACTCTTAATTAACAGGCGTATCGGTTACAGTCAGCGGAAAACGCAGAATCCTCTTTAACCGCTGATTATAGGAAAATTACCGGTAACATTCTTCCGTTTCCATACGTTCAGCTTTCCTCTTTGTGTGCTCTATTTTCTCGGCCACGGTGTTTAGCAGCTTCTCCGGCGGCGGTTACTTAATGACCATCTAAAAATCAACGGTTCACAGCTAAGGATCTCTTAATGCAGCAGATTACCGTTCGTTCAGGCTCCGCAGGCTCGATCCCGAATTATCTAACGATTAATCGGGAATTAACTCGGACTCGCTGGTACACGGGGTAGTAAATAGCAGCACAAACTACCAAACGGGATACAATTCTAAGTATACTCTCCTCTCAAACAGAATAACAGAATTCGCTTATTTGAATTGTTTCTGTTTTCTTTTCCAAATTAAACACTGTTCAATATCAATGAAATATTAAATTAATATTTCTTGTAACCTTCGTTGACTTCAGTGAAAATTTCTCTAACTAAACGTATTGGCAGTTTATGTATTTATAACTATTTCTTATTAACTATTACTATTAGTATATTTATAAATATTAAGTATTTCCACTGTTTCCTCTCTAATCAGCTGAATAACTGGTTACAAAATAAATATATTGCAAGTTAATAGTTATATTAATAGGAAATAGTTATAAGTATAACTATTAATTTATAATATATTTATTATGTAACTATTACTATTACTTATATTTATAAATATTAAGTATTTCCACTGGTTCCACTTTAATCAGCTGAATAATTGGTTATAAAATAAATACAGTAGTAAATGGTAACACAAACTACCAAACGGGATACTCTAAAATGGTACCTCGAGTACGTTTTAGGCGCGGTACAATCGCACAGGCGAGTATCAACGCGAACGATCACGGATCGAAAGCGTTGCCGAAGGATTTTTCGCGCAGCGATCGGTCGAGTTTCTTGCAGCCCGAAAATTTCCTCTACTAAATACCGGGAACACTTTCTCCGCGCACTTTCGGATGAAAGCTGCTCCCTGCGTTGACCCACCTACTCTAAAAAAAAAAGAAAAGAAAAGAGTTGCGCAAAAAATGGATCTCGCTCTTTTCCTTTCTCTTTCTGTGCGCTCATCGTTCTGCGAGCAGAAGTTAATCGAACCGTCCGCGGTTCTGCGTGTCAAATGTCGCTTCCGCGTCGATTCCCTTTCTCCGTCTCAAACGAGCCGCCGGAGTTTTTACTGTAATTCGTGCGTCGCGTCGGCTGCTTTCGATCAAAGACACTCGACGTATCGTCCAGGTCGTCGAATAGTTGATTAACTCTGCAATCCTGTGTCGAATGCGACTCGACGTTAGATTTATTCGAAGTCTGCTTCTCTGTCGAGATCTTTGCCCAACTTATTACTTTTGATATCTGTCTTTCAAAATACGTTTCAAGTAAAGCGCTTAGAATAATACGAAATTATTGAAAAGAAAAGGTGAAAGGAACTCGGAGTGCAGAGTTCACCGTATCGGAAATAAGTCAAATAACTTTTAAAATTCTGCGGTTTCTTTTGCTCAGTGAATTTTCTATCAATTCGACTCAAAGGGGAAGACAAGAAGTGATAAACTGATTAATACTAGAACTACTGAGCATTTAACACGATTCATTCGTAATCCTTATAAAAATGGTAACAATATAATGGTAACATTAATTATAGTGAAACTATTTAATTTCAAATACTATTTTGTACCTAGTTATTTGACTAGTTACGCTAGGAAAAGTACCTGTAGTATTTTTACTATTAAAAACGGCCACCAAGCAATTCAATTCGAAACTCAAACAGATTCAATTACAAAACAGACTATAATCAAACGAAAACCAGAATTCAATCCCGAAGAGGTCTAATTTATCTCTACTTTCTAACCAATTATTTAATTACAGTCGCAAAACTACCAGTGGTATTTTTTCTATTAAAAACGGCCGACGTGCAATCCGATTCGAAACCCGAACGAATTCGGTGTCCTCTTCCTCGAAGGCTTTTCCGGGGCGTCGCGAAACAGTGAAAGTCCTTGAAAATGCTCCTCCGAGCGAAAGGATCGGCTAGCGCGCGTTCTCAGCGAACGCGGATGGCCCCTTCTAATTTTCCTTCCGATCCGGCGGACATCGATCAGCGTGTATATATCCGGATATCTGAAAAATGCGAGGAAAAAGGAAAGAAAAACGGAGAACGAGCGAGGATATTTAAGACTCGTTTCGGTAGGCGGGCCTTTTCGGGAGAGAAACACGGCTACAGCTCCCAGAATTCATTGGCAAGTTTCACCGGCCGCGGAGATCAGGTTTCCAATCATTTCTGTGGCTGAATTCTGCGACGAAAACGGCGGGAACGGAATCCGAGGCGTGCTCCGTGTTCTTCGCGGGGAGAACCCCGGAACAGCAAGAGATTTTGTTACAGATTTCGTTTGATCACGTCTAAAATATTGAAATAGGAAATTAGTATTGCAAATCAGATGAGAACAGATGAAAGCTGATCAATCAGACTCGAATTCTTTTTAGGATTCTTATGGACAATGCAGAGTACAGTAATTTTGTTCAACAGGTTCCATGCTATTGTATGTTTCAGTTATATTTTGCTTGTAAAGTGTATCAGTTTTTAAATAATATATTAAATTATATTGAAGTTTCTGGTGAATTTTATGTATTTTAGTATTGAAGGGAGCAAAACTAATGGCTGACCGGTTAAGAAAAGTTGAAACGCTTCATTGGTTCTTGATCTTTCATATTAGAAATAAATTAACTTATTGCCAGGTGTGATACTATGAAATAACAACAATTCTATTGCCTAAGAAAAACTTGCAGCAATAATAAGTTACTTCAGAGTTATACTGCTATACTGTACTTGTAACAATTAAGTAAAACAGGTTCTACAATGATTATTGAAGTTTCTATATAAAGGGACATTTTGAAAATCATTTGACAAGCAAGACATTGGATTACTGGTGCCTTTGGCTCACACGAACCGTCGAGGAGCTGCCCAAAGAAAACTACGCGAATAAGATACTCGGATGAGAACGTAGAGTAACGAGATTTACAGGAATATTTGAAATTTAAATGAACCGTCGGGTCGGTTTTGTACGATTATCTGTAATTAGGTGTCTGTATCATCTAGGTCACTGAATCCGGCGATAGAACACGTTGCTGCACGCCGGAACGAGGAACGGAGAGCGAGGGGATATCCTTTAACACGTTCCGTGTACCATTTATGGTACACGTGCAATTTTTGTAAAGAAACATTCTTTGCGAGACGTGTGTCTAACAATGGTACGCGTCGCGAAACAAGAAAAACTTAAAGAAACAATATCAAAACATCTAAAAAGCCAGCAAGAGCTTGAATGTACCTTAATCTATCATAGAAAAAACCACTGCACTTTATAAGCGAGTAAAAACTTAAAGAAATGATATCAAAACATCTAAAAAGCCAGCAGAAGTTCAAATGCAACTTAACTCCTTGCCCTACAAAATTATGCGAGACTTGTAATGAAGATTTCAAAGGGAATTGAACAAATAATATCATCTAATCCCTTTGAATTCAAATGAAATATTTTTCTATTATCAATCCTATATACAAGACATAGAAGACAGAATGATCAAGAATTAGAAGCAATAAAATAGTTCTATAGAGTGCATTTGTCAAAGAAATCATAAGACAAGGGGTTGATCTATCATAGAAAAAATCAGTACACTTTGCAAGCAATATCAAAGTATCCAAAAAGCCAGCAAAGGCTTGAATGCAACTGAATCTATCATAGAAAAAACCAGTGCACTGTACAAGCAATATCAAAATATCTAAAAAACCAGCAAAAGCTTGAATGCGACTGAATCTATCATAGAAAAAATCAGTGGACTTTGCAAGCAAGATACAGCAAAAATTTCCGGTGGCATGGAATGTGTTGACCGGTTAAAAGGACTCAAAGAAGGAGGAGCTGCCGTTAGAGACCGCTCAGTTGCTCGAGCGAGGACCAAACTGTTTGCTTTTAACGCGACTTTGAACTCGCGCACGACTCTCACTGGTTTTTCTTTTGCGCGGAGCTGTAAGAATGCGGCGCGCATCTTTTCCCGTTTCTCCTTTCTTCTCGCTCGAGCCGCGCTGGAGAAAGGGAGACCGCCGGTGGTACCGTAAAGTCCACCTTTCTCTCATCCTGGCTCACCGGTTATTTTCAGCCTCCGCCGTGGCTACTCCACTTTAGCGAAATTTGCCGGACGCAGGCTAATAGAGAACCAGGCGATTCTAGCCATTGGAATTTTATGGGACTCTGCTGGTACTACTGTATACTGTATACCATTATGGGATCCTCTGGTTTGATGGCAGCCTTAGTCTTCATGTTAGTTGGAAAGGATGATAGTTGTTCAAAGGATGAGATTCTTCTGGGATTCTGGACGCTGGGATTTTAACGCTTAACCTATTGAACAGTTCAATTGAGTTACTGAGAGTCTTTGAAATTCAGAATTTGAGAAAATCTTACTAATAATATGGAAAATAACATAATATGATCTACCTTCAAACTATATTGGCAAAGAAGTGCACTTGCTAATAAAGCTAAAAATTTTACTAATAATATTGAAGATAACATAATAATATAATCTATTTATATATAGTAAAATATCAGTTGGCGTAATTATGGCTTGGATTTCGACCGGTTAAATCGTATGGCAAGAGGTTAAAGACATCAGTCTTTTGTTACAGGCAGTCTCGGAGCACAGATATGAGAAAAGTTTAGGCAGCCGAGCGAAGGAAGAGTCAAAGAAGATCATCGAAGGCCACTACGTTCTCAACGTGAACGGCAACGACGGAGTGCGTAATTCTTCTCAACCTAACGATCCTGGCGAAGCGAAGGAGCCACTCAAGTTCATTCCCACGAACGAAAGCAATCACGGGACGGTTAGTACAAAAGAAAGCGAAAAAAAAAATTTGAAATGTAACGGCGCGCAATTGCTCGATACCCGCGCAAACGGTGGCGGAATCAACTTCAGGCGTATCATGATCAACACTTTCCGCGCCACCAGAAATTTTGATTATATTTTGAATGCAGCATTCGTTTTCATTGTGATGAAAAGTGACATTTAATTCTATACAGTTTTAACGTTTTGAAATTATTATACACTTCAACCCTCGTTCATTAAAATTAAATCATTAAAATTTGTATTGTCAAGCTTTCGCTGACAGATAAGGTATTTTCATGTTATTACGTTTTTGTCATTCCGCGATGTCATTCTTTTACACGTGTCTTGCGAAAAATGTTTCCTCAGAAAAATTACCATGAATAAAATGTACCATAAATGGTACCCGTGGCGCGGAGCGCGTTAACAGACAATTTTCTTTTTAATCGAGCAACACAACGATTTCCGTGCTTTCCCTTCCGGATTACTGGAAACCGTTTCACTTTCCACGGATGCAACGGACGCCTGGTAATCGCATTGAGAAACATTCAATAGGTTTCATCACCGGACGATAAAACAGTTTCCTTGAAATGAAGATTTATCGTGGAACAATGTACGCCCTGTTGCGTCAGCACGTGCGCCGTCAATTTCACATATTTCCCGTCGTCGATGACCCTTCGAGCACGCTTTCACTTGGCCGCGCGTAAAAGGATACGCCACGCTGTGCCCAGAGAAAAGGATTAACGGTTTTTCTCAGCTTCGATTCTTTTTTCCAGAATGAAAGCCAAAGCGACGACCGACAACGGTACCAGCAAGTGGTTCAGCCTTACCTCGTCTCCGTGGAAGACAAGAGAGCTCAGGAGAGCTCGAACGGATCGAGTGCCGTTTTCAGACCGACCAGGACCAGTCAAAATGTCTCCAACAACGTAGTCACTGTGGAATATCTTCCATCGCAGGAAATTGTGCTTCAAGACTCCACCGTGACCACGAGATTGCCTTCTGTGCGCGAGAATAACTCCAACGAGTTGAGTTACTCGGTTCCAGAGGAGCAAACAGACGTGGAGCTTGCTGGGGACTTCGGTGAAAAGGTACGTTCTCAGAGACAGAGGAATATCTTTAGTCGAGTCAAGTTCAGACAGCCTATAGACAACGCGTCTGAGGAGTACAGGAAGAATAGGAAGTACTTCAGACCTCTAGGGGTGAAGAAATTGAATGTTACTGAGAACACTCTTGATGTACCCTTGGAAGAGCGAGTGCCATTTTTATCAGCTGCATCTGGAGAGTCACAGAGAAGTCTGAAGCAAAAGGATACTGAGGAGGCTTGCATTGACAGCGAAGTCCAGAAGAATAGTAAGGTAATATCTATAAGCTTGCCCTGGTCAAGCGAAGAAACAGCTAGCAGGGAGCAGAAATCGAGGAAGAACAATGTGGAGCTGCCTAATGCTGCCTTAGGCAAGGACACTTTCTCCTCTACCAGTAGCCCGTTGGTTACAGTGTCTCTAGGTAAATTCTCTGGACCAATTGTGGTGCCTGACTTGCCACGTCAGAAGAAATACTCGTCTACCACCCCTGATCCCTTGGGGAGCAATGAATTTTCCAAAACGACTTCGTCGCCAGAAGCAACGAGGACGAAAGGTTCGGATAACGGGTACCTAGCAATGTCTCCAGCTATTTTGAACCCTCTGCAGGTTGGCGTAGCGTTGATGAACGCGGGACAAGACCTGCATTCGCTCAACGAGCCTAATACGGCGACTAAAGAGTACGTTCAAGACGAGTCCCAATCTCCACAGTTTTCCGCGTACATTGCGGATGCTGGTATTCAGAATGACTCTACGGATTCAAGTAATTCTAACCTCCAAAACGATCAGCTAACTGAACAAGAGCAGATCTCTGAAACAGTGACGTCCAACTCTCCTGGGCATTCGGTGGAGATCCAGAAATCAGTGGAGATATACCACACGGCGCCTGTGCAAGAGATACATTACCCTATGGAGTACGTGCCGAACATAGAGCAGCCTCTAGCGAAGCAGAACGACTACAGAAAGTTGCAGAAGGGTCACTTCAAAGATAGGAGACCTGGTCAAACCAATGTCTACAAGACCAATGAGATCATCGATGAGATAAGCCCTTCCAGCAGTCAGGAACGAGGTCGTTACGAGTACAATGTGAATGAGAACGATGTCGTCTACTCTGCTACCAATGGGCAACTGGAGCAAGCTATCCTTCGACCAGACAATAAACCTTTTGGAGCTAGAGAGCAGATAAACAACGCTCAGTACAGCAGGATTCAAGGGAATTCTGAAGCGTTAGCCAAGGAGCCTTTAAATGTCGCGAAAAGTCAATCAGTGATTGTCACGCAACAACCCTCCAGAATAATAGGGAGTCTGTCAAGCCTGGTGAACTTGGAAAGCCCTCAGGGGTCTCAGGAGGTGCCTCAAACGGAACTGAGGTTTGTGATGACTGCGCCCCAACCGCACACCGTGGAGAAGGTCATTGAAAAAACCGTCCATGTACCTCATTCCATAGATATTTTAGAGAAGAAGGTACCTTACCCCGTGGAGAAAGTTATAGAGAAACAAATAACCATTCCACAACCTTTCCCAGTACACGTGCCAATAGACAGAATAGTCGAGAAGCAAATTCGAATTCCTTATCCGGTGCACGTGGAGAAAGTAATAGAGAAGAAGGTACCCTACGCGATTCAGAGGTTGATCATACCATTCCCAATTCATTTCCGGGTGCCGCAACCAGTCCCAATTCCAGTAGAGAAGGTAGTGGAGAAACCTGTACCTGTGCCAGTTCCAGTCGAAAAGATTGTAGAGAAACCGGTGGTGCATGCGCCTAGATACCCCTTGGAAACTACAAAGTTTGTTAAATCCGTGGCACTTCCGGTTTACAATATTCAGAACGATGGGAATTATCAGCAAGTGGTTAGACAACAAAGCTTCCAAACGTTACCGAACCCCTCTTACGGATCCGTCAGCGACGATCAGAGTTACTACAACAATAATAATGCTACGCAGATCTATGGTGTTGGATACGCAGCTCTGAATCGCCCCTTGTCTAGGCAACCCGTGGTACATACAAAGAAGTTTGGATCGTACGGAGGAGTACAACAACAACAATATCCTCATTCTGTCGCGTACCCTGTCGGCGGAAACGGGGGTGGAAATTCGGTGTTCTATGGTAGAGTCACGGTAGAGAAGGATAACAACAACAAGCTACTGGACGAATACGTTGGTCCAGTACCAAGGAAAGTACCCATAGGAATGCAATCCAAATCCATAATACAATACAACTCACCGGATATCCAGGCAACTATGAGGAGAACCAGGCAGGATGGAGTTGGAGGAAGTGGTAGCTTTAGGCAGTCCAAAATGGAGTATGGTTTTAAACCACCTATGGTGCCTTCCGTCCAGTACGACGAACAAACTGCGACTAAAGTCGAATAAGCTCACCTACGCAGTGAGAGAACTTGACAAATGATTATTTATTTACTGAATATACAATTTATTTTGGAGTGATGAAGAGGATTTGGAGGGGTTAATATAACAACCCCACCCTTTTTTTGTCGCCTTTTATGACAAAGCAGAGAATAATCAATCATCATCTTTCTCCAAAGGGGACTTTGGATTTTATTACCGTAATATAATCCATAAAGGATCACGTCACCCATCTTTTCTTGGTACGCGGCCAATGACCGTTTGACTTCAACACAGCATGAAATGATGTATTCTCTGTACTACAGGTACAAGTTGAATTACGTCTTCAACGATGCTGTATATATATGACATAAAAACTATATCTATGAATGAAAGTATTATATTTATTACAGATATGCAAGCATATTCGTTTTGTTGGATAAATCTTATTTAACAGGCTTTGTACTCGCCGTTGTGCTGAATTAATTATACAGTTTTGGTTCAGGTATTGAAGACTGATAGCGTTAATGATAGAAAAGAATGGAAAAGGATATTTGTTTATAACATTGTTAGCGGAGTAACGAAATCGAAAGCTATTTCACAATTCTATGTACAGTATAATTAACGAGGTTTTAGATGCCATTGCATTCAATGTAAATTAAGATTGTAAACATAATAAAAAAAAAATAATATCGTTGAATAAATTAATCTATAAGAATTCTTATGTATCTCGGATAGATTAAGATTCGATTTGTATAGATTACCTGCAGATGTTGATTAAACTTCTTTTTGTAATATGAGAAAACAGTCATTCAACTTACTATCTTTATGTCCTTCAATAATTCTTCCCAAATTCTGTCTCTGCGCGCGAGTGGAAGGAAAGCACGTTGTTAAACTTCATTTTTTATTCTTGGACGGTACCTGTTTAATATTCGAACAATATATTAACAATCGCTATCACGTCGGTTCGTTAAAAAAATACAGAAAATACTGATACAGTTAGAGATAAAATTAGGACACTCTGGAGTCCCGCCCAGGATAAAGTCGTTTCCAAGGATGCTTGATGCGCAATAATTTACCCATACGCACATACATAAATGTACATACATGTATTTACTATACATACACATATATATATATATATATTTTTCAAAAAATTTATATATATACATATACATGTACATACATATACATATATATACATACACATGTATAGATTTCTTTATTTATATAACTTTATGTATAATCTGTAAACGTGAGTCAGTGCCGCTCATTTTCTTCATTAATCTGCAAAATCTATGTACAACGCTCATGTTACATTATATATTAAGAAGAAAAATAATTGTACAGTAGAAACTTGATTAATTAATATCCACTCGGTGCAATTTTTTTCTATACACGATACCGAACCACGACGCGACCGTTGATCATCGTATCTTTCAAACGCTAAATTAACCAGTTCAAACTACCGTTAAACAGTGCAGCACATTCCTATGATCCATAGAAAATAATTAAAAAAAAAGAAACAAAAGAAAAGTGAGAAAAACGTTCTAGCGATAGAGCTCACTGAAGATGAGAACATTGAAATGTGTGAAGTTGATGGATGCTGGTGAAGAAAAAAAAAATGACCGATCAAGAGTACGTTAACAATCTATATAATTTTATGGAACGTACAACAACAATCTCCAGATTCCAAAGCTTATAATTACGCTTCCCTAGAAATACTTCTCCTTAATCTCTAGCTACCATAATCGAGATTCTACTGTACCTATATACATATATATACATATACTTCTGTGTGTGTGTCTGTATACATATATATATATATATAAAAAAAAAATCTTTCATTTTTTTTTCTTTTAAATTCCTCTCACTCGTTCGAGGCGTATTTAACGGGTACGCTTTGTTCGTTAAAACAAGATCACCTTGCATATACTACTCGGACCCAATTCGTAATTTACGATCACAGTTTGCTACGGAAGAAAAACTGTACACCGACGTTCCCCGCGCATAATCTAGAGAAAAAATGTACAACACAACAACGACGCTCACGTGACCGAGCAAACATTGAGAGAAGAAACGGTGAAAGAGAACAGAGATGTTTCTTCCTTTCTTTTTCTATCTTTCTTTCATTCTTTCTTTTTCTTTCTTTCTTTTTCATCAGCAAAGGGACATTCCCTCTCCGCGAAGAAAAAAAACAAACTCGTGGTTTTGTGAGGTGACTCGCACGCCGAGGCCCTACGCATCTTAAACTTACTGCACAACCGACTTAACAAATCGTCCCCCGCTTCTCTCGTGCCTCGAGCTCTGCTCCCGAAAGTATGGAATGTTTTGTTTTCTTTATGGTACATGGACAACATGAAAATAATATTCTGCGATAATCGTATTTACAAGACTTACAAATCGCACCTAAGATGACACGGCTCGCCATTCGTTGCACTTCGATCCTCGAGTAGTTTGTTCAAAGATTAAGAGATGAAATTCTATTGTTTTGGATCTACGTAGAAATTTGGAGATGTTCTTCTGTGTCTTGTGTCATCGTTTTTTATACCGAATCGATGTACTCGCGAGTCGACGTTTGAGATTCTGACGAGTCCAAGTATGGAGAATAGAAATCGTAAGAAGGAAGTGCAAGAAATACGAGAGCATCCCTACGTAGAAGCAGTGGCGTAGTCAGACGAACTTTCTCGGGCCGTTCCCTTCGACAACACACAGGGAACTCGTCGTTAAATCACATTACAATTTCATCGCACGGTTCTTACAATGATTCCCTCCTCGGCACTTATATAGTTACCTTCGAACCCTCGCAACTCTCGCAGTGTTTATAGTCGATAAAACACATTCAGTCTTATGTATAATAAGAATTTTCTTTCGTCGAGTCGAATAAAATTTATACAAGAAAGAAAACGTAAAATGATAAAAATATAATTTGATCTCAAGGTGTCGCTCTATTGCCCCCGCACTAAAACTATTCCTAATGCGTTTCAAGCTACGACATTCGTATCACACGCTTCCAAACCTATTAATCGTATGCCTTGATTAATGATCGTTAACAACGCTGGGGAATAGAAAACAAAAATGTACGAACATATAACAGATCAGTAATTAAAACATCTCGAAGGAGTATCTAATTTAAAAAGTGTATAACGGACGTCACTCGAGATTCCAATTCATTAACGCAAGATCACGTCTGAAATACAAACTAAAACAATTGCAACAAATTTCTCGGACAATGGTTTCCCTGCTGTTGCATTCCACGTGTCGATTCCTTTCCCTAAAAACTTCTAACCACGTCACTGCATGAAAGAGTTAAACTATCTAACATTCGGACTTGTCTTCCTCAACCAGCTGCTGCGTGTCCTTCCCCGAGTCGATAGGCGTGGGATCGAGTTCCCTCCTTTTAAGGTGTAACTGCGGCGGTTCTTTGTGCTGGATGCTGGATGGCTTCATCTCAGCCGGTAGCTCGTACATGCTGCTCGCGCCGGTGCCGTTGGTAGCACCTGTATCCGTGTTCACCGCGTCGTACATAGGATTACTGAAGTCCCTGTTCTTGTTGCTTACATCGCCGAGGTTGTACTCGACGTCCAGAGGTTCCTGCTCGAACAAATTCACTTGTAACAATTCAACATTGTACAATTGCAATCACGTTTCACATACCATTCTCTCGTGAGCAGGCACGCCAAATTCCACGTTGCTGCCCTGTCTGAACGATACGCTTTGAGCACCAGTCAGGCTGCTGAGACCACCAGGCTTACCACTGAAAATTACAATCATTTTCATACAAGATATTCTATGATAGACATTATTCAGATATTATTACAAAATCAATAGATATTCTTGAGATACAAATGAAATCTTCCAGGGAAGATTAGAACTTACTATAGTATTAGATGTATTGTATTAGATATATTACTATAGTAATGTTAGAACTCACAACGGTCGTTTCTTGAGCACCATTATAACAGCAGCAGCTCCAAGGAGGACCAACACCGAAATAACAATAGGAATAACGATGGCGGCAGTGGCGTTACTCGACCTGGCAGCCACCAGGCCCACCTCACAGAATTCTCCGTGGAAATAGGCCGGACAAGCGCACTGTAATTTATTGTCTTCCGCCTCCTGACACAGGCCACCGTTTCTACATGGACAGATCCGTGGCTCGGGCAACGGCCTCTCATTCGTTGCGTCGCAATGCCGCTCGTTCGTTCGCATGTCGTGTTTCTGTTGAAGCGGACCGATGCTGTCTGAGCAGAGGCATCGATGACCACCGGGGACAGGTACGCAGAGATGCGTGCATTGATCTTCGTGGCAGAGGTTTCTCAGAGAGACGTTGTATCTCAACGGATGGTACACGCGGACTCCGCCAGGTCTGGGGATGTCGCTCACGATGACCTGTGGCACGCCTCTACCGAATTTGTCTTGTCTGATCAGCTCGCCGGTCCGTCTGGTGGTCCAGTAGAGACTGCTTTCGAAAACGTCCAACGACACCGGGTGCTTTAGGGTCTCGCCCTTCAGGAGCACTCTTCTGTTCGAACCATCCTGCAGCAAGGAGGATTGTTTAGTGAGAAATATATTAATATGTGACTGCTATGAGAACTTATAGCGGTTTGAATAGTAATATATTATATATTATATATTATATATTATATATATTATATATTATATATGTTCATTAGTTAAATGTCACCGCGTTAAGTAGCATTGTTTATAATACAGAAATGGTTTCAAGTAATCATCGTTTAACTGAGTGAACTATAGTAATTGTAGACTATAGTAAACTCTATAGTTCTAATATTAGAACTATAGTAATAGTAAGTGAAATATAGTAATATTAGAACTATAATAACAGTAAGTGAAATATAGTAATATTAGAACTATAGTAATAGTAAGTGAAATATAGTAATATTAGAACTATAATAACAGTAAGTGAAATATAGTAATATTAGAACTATAGTAATAGTAAGTGAAATATAGTAATATTAGAACTATAATAATAGTAAGTGAAATATAGTAATTCAATTTAGGTCACCGGTGACCACCGTGGCATTTAACCTACTAAGCGAATCGCAGAGAATAATTATGCTATCTCACCTGTTCAATGGACTCGATGGTATTAAGCTTGCTGTCAGCCCAATACAGAACATGCCCCATAGAATAATCAACAGCGAGTGCAATGGGTTGACCGATTTTATCAGAAACCAACTGCTTCCTCTTGTCACCGTCCATCCAGGCGACCTCGATCTTCGGCTGGCTGCCAGCGTCTGCCCAAATTGTCTTGCCCAACTCCGGATCCAGTACAATAGAAGTCGGAATTTCCAGGCCCACCGTTACCAAGCTTCGACGGTACCTGCCATCGGCTTTCGAGACCATTATCCGACCGAACGCCGTCGCCCCCGTCGAGTCGATCTCGGTCCAGTAAAGATTGCCAGATATCCAGTCCACTGCCAAACTGGTAGGCGTCGAATCGCCTGAATCGAGAACGATTAACGTGTTCAAATATCATCTCCTAACAACTACACTAATAAAGAAAAGATAAGTTTACTTTTTATGTTAAGATCCTGCGCGTATCCTATCTTCACTTGGCCACCCTTCGCGTTCAGCATGTAAGATCTCTTGATGGTGTTGTCGTGACTGTCGATCCAGAACACGTACTCCGCTCTTGGATCAAAGTCAACGTCTTGCACCCTTTTCTCGTTGGCGATCACTTCAACCTCGTCCCTCTTGTGGAGTTCGTACGCGCGAATCTCCGGCCCATTTGCGAACAGAATCATCGCGTCGTTGTCCAAGACCTTGCAGACTCCGCTGCGATTGTCGGACAGCTCGAAACCTTGCCTGCACGAGCAGGAATAGGTTCCGTTCATGTTCGTGCAGATCTGGGAGCACTGGTGCTGGCCGGTGGTACACTCGTCGATGTCCTCGCAATGCTTTCTGTTGTCCTGTGATATTATGTAGCCTGGGTAACAGGCGCAGATGTAACCGCCGTCGGTGATGTTGTGACAGTAGTGAGAGCAGCCTCCCTTATTGCTGTCCAAGCATGGTTTATTGTGATCTGCGAGGAAGAAGGTTTGTCAGGAATCAGAATGACTGATTGATTTAAAAGAAAACACTTTAAAACAAAACTTACGACAGCCAAGCTCATCAGAGGAGTCACCACAATCGTCACCGAAGTCGCAGAGCTTGGTGCGGTCGATGCACTTCTTGTTGGAGCAAGTGTACTCGTTTATGGGGTCACAAGGGCGAACTCTGGACGCGCACATCGTCATGTTGTTCTCGTCGGATCCGTCGCCGCAGTTGTCGACACCGTCGCACAGCTGGTACTTGGCGATGCACTTGTGGTTCGCGCACTGGAACCTCCTCGTTGTGTCGCATTTGAAGTTTTCTGATGAATGTAATAGTGTTAATTGTAGTTATTCGACTTTGTAGTTTAGTTACCAAATAGTAGCACAAAGAAATTTTATCACACATTCAAAAGTGGCTGTAGAGTTGTTGAAATTGTCCTCAACGTTTCGCCATTGCGGCGAATTGGCTTCAGGGATTAAAGACACTGACAGTGTGTCTAGGAAGACTGTCTTTATCAGTAGTTTCTAATTAGTCAGCTGAACAACTAAATTTTTACACTAGAGAGGTGACACAGTCACTTGATTTAATACAAAACTATGAGTATTTGGTATTTGAAATGAAACTCTGTATTGCTATGTGAAATATTTGAGTAATAAAGCTTTGTTGCTTAATTTATCTATGAAAACCGTTAAATTACTTTCAATCAGTGTCATCTCTCATCAGAAAATATTGAATATTTTAGTGATGGCAAACGTCAGAGAGCTCTCAGCCTACATCCATTCTGAATATAACATTCCAGACCACGAAAGCATCAAAGCAACCTACCACACATATTTGGATTCTCGTCAGACCCATCTCCACAGTCATCGCTTCCGTCGCACGTGTCAGTAAGGTAGACGCAGAGATTGTTATCACACTGGAATCTCGTCTGCGGACAGTACCTTCCACCGGAATACCTCGGAGGACAGCCAATCTCGTCGCTCATGTCCCTGCAGTCCCTTGTGCCATCGCATCGAAGATACGAAGCAATGCAGTGTCCACTCGCACACTTGAACGTGTCGCTCTGCCATAAAATAACATTCATTAACACCAGAATCACCTCACCAAACCCATAGAAACCCAACCAATAGAAACATACCTTGCACACGAACTTCTGGCATCCGTTCTCATCGCTGTTGTCACCGCAGTCGTCCTCGCTGTCGCACCTCCACCTCGACGCAATGCATTTGCCGTTGTCGCAACGGAACTCGGACTCGGAGCACTCCCTGTACCGGTCCTTGCACATGGCCTCCATCTCGTCGCTGCCGTCGCCGCAATCGTCGGCGAAGTCGCAGAGCCACTGCTTAGGCACGCACCTGTTGTTAGCGCATTTGAAGTCCATCTTGGGATCACACTTGAGACAGTTCTCCGGCAGCTCGTCGGAGCCGTCGCGGCAGTCGTCCTTCCCGTCGCAGAACAGCCATTTCGGTATGCAGCGGTAGTTGGCGTGGCCTGGACAGCGCTGCCAGCCCGTCGTGCAGTTCTTCTGGCGACAAATGTACGCTGGCTCGTCGCTGTCGTCGCCGCAGTCGTTGTCCGAGTCGCACATCCACACCTTCTGGATGCATCTGCCGTTCTTACAGGCGAACTCGGTGCTCGGGTCGCATGGTCGATTGTCTGTGTTCAAGGATTCATTAAGGATACATTCTCTGAATATCAAATAGTCATTTAAAATAATTAATCTGCTCTACTTACGACAGATAGCAGGATCCTCATCGCTGCCGTCCTTGCAGTCAACGTCTCCGTCGCACTTCCAGGACTCGTGGATGCACCTTCCGGTGGACTTGCACTTGAACTCCAGTTCGCCGCACTCCAGGTTGCAGACGGCCTCGTCGCTCTTATCCCCGCAGTCGTCGGCGCCGTCGCACACTGCCACGCTAGGCCTGCAGTTACCATTGGCACACTGGAAGACGCTGGCTCGACACACTCGAGGCGGGCAACTCGTCGGCTCGTCGGAGCCGTCTTTGCAGTCCTTCTCGCCGTCGCATCTTCAAGATGAAATTCCAATTAATCATCGACACGGTTCGGAGGCTACAAAATTTATGAGGTATACTCACTTCCAGTACCACGGTATACACTTCTCATCCGGTGGTCCGCAGCCATGCTGACCGCGGGTGCAGTTGGCTATACAGTTCTTGCCGTCCTTGTCCAGCACGAATTGGTTAGGACACTTACATTTGTACGACGTGACGCCCGGTTGGCCGTAACCTTCCAGCAAGTAGGAGCTCGCAGGCGGTGAGATCAAGCAGAGATGAGAGCAACCGCCGTTGTTCTCCATGCAGGGGTTCTTGTAGGGCAGCTGTCGCAGAGGATGATAAGCGTGGATGTCGTACGGTCTGTGAGTGGTGTTGCGCAGTAGTCGAATGTTGTTCCCAGAGAATTTTTCTGCCCGTTGGATAGCCTTCAGGTTCCAGTCGGTCCAGAAGATGAAGTCGTCGAAGACGGTGATGGCGAACACGTGTGGCACGGCGTTGCCCGTGAGCACCTTCCTCCTGTTGTGACCCTCCAGATCGGCGAACGCTATGTAATCTAAATGAGCGTCTGCCCAGAAGATCTTGTCGGTGAAATAATCGATAGTCAAAGCGTTTGGCCAGGCGATGTCATCCTGCCAGGTGAGGATCCTCGTGAAGTTGCTGCCATCCATTCCCACCTTGCCTATGTAGGCCTGCAAAACAGATTGTCATCAATCACCACATCAACAAGAAAAACAATTACTAGACTATTGACGTTTCCTCTACCTGCAGATGCCAAGACGTGAAGTACAAGTACCCAGTGCCAGGATGCACAACGATAGCTCTCGGGTCCGCTATGCCAGTCAGTAAGGTCTTCCTATTGGTCCCATTCAGTTCAGCGACGTCCAAGTGTTTATCGTGGCGGTCCAGCCAGTACAGCTTCCGGCCGACCCAGTCAATCGCTATACCTTCCAATCCGAGGCTGTCGTGTCTGATGATCGGCTCCTTCTCCCCTCCAGCAATGGGCGCTCTAAAATCAACACCGGTTCAATGATACTGTCACAAACTTCTAATACAATATTCTATAAAATCATGAATAACCTGAATATAGTCTTAGCGGTGACGTCGCAGAAATATAACATCTGCTCCGCGTAATCAGCGTCCAGGGCGACAACGTTGATCAGATCCTGATGCATCAGGCTGTAGTTTGAGGCGTCTATGGACATGTTCCTGACATAGTACTTGTTAGTGAAGATGATCCATGGCTTGATGTTGTCCCGCCTCTTGCACGTGTGCTCGTCCGCGGCCCGCTCGTACCAGTACTCGTTGCATTTGCAGTAGAAGCTGCCGGGTGTGTTCTCACACTGCTGGCTGCAGACTTGCGGAGTCTCCACGCACTCGTCCACGTCTTCGCAGGCTTTCCCGTCGGGCAACAGCCTGTAGCCTGGGTTACATTCGCAGTAGTAACTCGTGGGAGTGTCCACGCATTTGTGTCCGCACTGGTTCATCTCCACTTGCGCGCACTCGTCCACGTTGCAGTGAGCCGGCTCGTCGCTCTCGTCCGCGCAGTCCGGCTCCTTGTTGCACACCAGACGCTGGTCGATGCAGAAGCCGTTGGCGCACATGAACTCTCCAGGATTCGGGCAGGTGGTGTTCTTCACTTTCGGCGCTGCAAAGAGAAAGTGTCGTGTATCAATTACATGGATGCTACAAAGTCTGTTTCTCAATCTTTTGTGGCATGTCTCACATAAGTCTTTCTACAATTCTTATGCCCCCTGTGTAACATATATAGAATCTTTAATATCCCTTTGCACACTGTTAGAAGGACATTCTCCTAATAATTCTAATAATTTCATTGTGAAACTGTGATATTTTGATGTGTAATACTGTTAGGTCCATTGCTTTGTATTTTTTGATTTTTGCAAATTTCAATGAGATATTTAATATGAATGTTCAGTCTTTTTTCAAAGAGCAGTAAATAATAGAATGTTATGTATTCACATAATATTCTATTATTTATTTATAATATACACATTGAGAAACAAAGCTGTTTTACTCCAATGTTATACAAAGTTTAACATTAAATATCACATTCTATAGGTTCACTGTGTCAAATCAAGTGACTGAGACCTCGCAAGTGCAAAGGGTTACAATATTTATTACAATATCTTTGCTATTTCGTTTACATGCATGAACACTGTGAATAGAAGTGATATTTCAAATTAAATTGCCTTAACACTTGGCCAACCGAAGACTCCCACTGTTCCCTTAGCTAATATGGTATTCATATTAAAAACTATGGCTTAAATATTTCCCAAATATTTGAAAAAGATTTCTCAACTTCACTTTAGCTCTAAGATTCGATTAGAAACGTATTGCCTTTTACTCTGTTCTTCTCCTGTTATTCAGTAACTCTTGAAATAGAATTTGCAATTCATCAAATACAGTTCTTCCTACAAAACAGTTCCCAACACAATTCATTGAACAACTTCAATAGAATATAATAGAGGAGACTGTAGTTACACTTCTTAACACATTGCGTACCGGTAACGAGAAATCTCGTTTTTATATAAGGACACTTAGCTATGCAACTTCGCTAATTACCACAGTATTGAAGAAATATAAAATTTAACTCGAATTGATTACCTATTTAAAATATATTACACAACAATATGATATCTGAGTTTTTCTATGTATAGCGATACAAGTTGACCTCACTGAAAATTGTCATCACAATTCAGTTTTCTGAAAATTAGCCGGTACGCAATGTGTTAAGAAACACTGGTCCAAGCAACCAGACACTTACGACATCCATCCTCATCGGAGTGGTCGCCGCAGTCGTCCTGTCCGTCGCAGCGGAACTGCTTCCTGATGCACTTGAAGTTATGACAGGAGAACTCTTGAGCGGTGCAAGGCTTGTACTTCGAATTGCAGAACTTCCCCTCGTCGCTGCCGTCGCCGCAGTCATTGTCATGATCGCACAGCCAGTTCTGATTCAGGCAGCGACCGTTGTCGCATGTGAACTGATTCTCGGCGCACGGGATAGGCATAGGACAATGGTGCAGAGTGACGTTCTCGTCGGCTCCGTCAACGCAATCCGGATCGCCGTCGCACAACCATTTCTTAGGGATACACTGCGCCCTGTTCCAGACCTTGTTCGCGGTACAGGTGAACTCGGTCTCTTCGTCGCACTTTCTATCATTGCACTGATGCCTGTCATCCTCATCGGAGTTATCCAGGCAATCATTCTCCCCGTCGCAAATGTAGATCCTAGGAATACAGTTGCCATTGTCGCAGGTGAATAGATCTCCGAAGCACGTTCTGCCTTCTGACTGACAGTAGCCGGTCGGCTCGTCCTTACCGTCTAAGCAGTCATCGTCCCCGTCACAGTACCACGTGGCCGGAATGCACCTGTGGTTGGGACACCTGAAGCTGTTCTGAGGACAAGTCCTCTGGGCGCAGTGCAGGGGATTCTCGTCGCTGTTATCGCCGCAATCGTTGTCGCCGTCGCACAACCAGTACGGCTCCACGCAGATGTTAGTCTTCTCGCATTTTAGATGATTAGGGGGACAGGTTGCGTTCATGGGGCACCGTTCGTGGGTCTCGTCGGAGGTGACGTTATCCTTGCAATCATTCACACCATTACAGACCAGGTACTGAGGGATGCAGCGGTAGTTCGCGCAGGTGAACTCGCCGTCGGCGCAGGGAGGGTAGACGCAGCCCTCCTCGTCGCTGCCGTCGCGACAGTCATTTTCATGATCGCATTTCCAGGTCTTGAAGATGCACCTGCCGTTGTTGCATCTGAACTCGTTGGGACTGCACGAGTGGTAAGAACAGTAGTTAGTATCCTCATCAGAGCCATCCCCACAGTCATTATCCCCATCGCAAGCCCACATTCTAGAGATACAGCGACCATTGCCGCAGGCGAACTTGCTGGAGTCGCAGGTGACGTTCTTGGGCACGCACATCCTGTCCTCGTTCACCAGTCTACTATTGTCATCGCATTTACATTCTACAGAACCATTCACGCTTGGATGACAGGACTGGTCGCAGCCGCCGTTGGAAATGTTACAAGGATTTACTTTGCACTGCTGCCTGCCTGATGAATAAATATGCAGATCCCTAGGGGAGTCCTCTAATCTCTTCACCAGCTCCACCTTGTTGGCTCCAGTGTGCTTCTCTGCGCGGTATACGCCTCTCAGCTGGAGGTCTGTCCAGTATATGTGCTCCCTGAAGACGGTGATGGCGAAGGGGTATATGGTAGCGCTGACTAGCACCTGACGATTGCTGCCATCTAACTCTGAGCGCTCTATCTTCTCGCGGACAGCGTCGGTCCAGTACAGCATGCGGTCTTCATAGTCGATAGCCAAGCCACTGGGCTGAGAGAGATCCTTGTCGATGATGGCTTTCTTCAAGGAGCCGGCCATGGTGGTTCTGAATATCTTCCCTGAGGTGCCGAAGCGACCCCAGTCGGTGAAGTACAGCGAGCCGTTGCAGGGGTCGACGACGATGGCTCTGGGCCTGTCCACTCTGGCTATCATGACGAGGTTCGACCCGTCGAGGTCCATGGCGTAGATGCTGTTGTTGGAGGAGTCCGTCCAGTAGACCTTCTTCTGCGTCCAATCATAGGAAATCCCCTCTGGGTTGATTCCCTTGCTGATCAGCGTGTGGATCTCAGAGGAGGACGGATGGTCCGCATGCATCCAGGCGATCTTCGCGCCTGGCCTGATCTGCGTGAACAGCAGCTTCTTGTCCTGGTAGTCGAAGTCGACGCCCACCACGTTGGTCAGGTTCACCATGGGAGGGAACGGTACGTTGGTGTTCTGGGGGTCCAGACCTATGGCTCTGATCTCCGTCCTAGTGGCGAACACCAGGTACTCGTCCACGTTCTCGCAGCGTTTCCCGTCCGCTGCAAGTTTACCTACAGCACACATGCATTTGTATTCGAATGACACCTTGGTGAAGCTCAGGGACTCGTTGGACATGGCGAAGCAGAGTTGCTCGCAGTCGGCGGTGCCGCCTGGGGCGCAGGGGTTGGTGGGATCAGGCGGCTGACTGTTCTGATCGAACATGACGATGTCCCTCAACTTCGGCAGGTTGGACCTGACCGTGGTGGGCAGGTTGAAATTAGTCCTGTCGCGTTTGTTGGCTTTGAACACCGTCGCCAAATTCCTGTCCACCCAGTACAGGTCATTTCCATAGATTGCTACGCCCATGGGATTAGGCAGGTTGCGTCTGACGATCGCGCGGTTGCCACCGGTGTAGGAGACCTTCTGAATGGTGTCCTGCTTAGAGTCCACCCAGTAGACGTCGTGGGTGGCGAAGTCGATGGTGATGTCTCGAGGAGTGCTGATGCCAGAGGTCACTATGGGCATCCACTTGCTGCCGTCCAACAGAGCCTTGCCCAACTTGGGGTACTGACCGTAGTCTATCCAATAGAGGAACCTCTTAATGGGATTGACAGCTAGCTCCCTGGGCGAGTCAGTGGTCTTCTTCACGAGCACTGTCCTGTTGGAGCCATCCAGCTTGCACACCTCGACGTAGTTGTCATGGGGGAACACGTTGGTGAAGTACAGGTTGCCAGCCACCCAGTCGATGGCCAGGCCTCTGATCCCATTGGAGCCTATGCCCTGCTTGACTATGTGCTGCAGCTCGGTGCCATTCGGCCTGACGCGGAATATGCCGTTCCAGACTCCCCTGTTGAACTCCACCCAGTAGATCCAATTGCCCGCATAGTGCACGTCCACGTGGAGAATGTGGTGACCCACCCCAGCAATAGGCACCATAGCTTCCTTGGCGTCCTTCAGACTGTAGCCCCTCGCCATGTCCAACTGCGCCACTATGGCGAAGGTCTTGAACGCCTCGCAGGAGGTCTCGTTGATCTTGCGGTACTCCATGCTACAGGCGCACACCCTGGTGCCTCCGGAGGCGGGCAGGCAGATCTGCTCGCAGCCGCCGTTGTTCACGAAGCAAGGGTGGTCTCCGGTGACGCGTTTCTTGTAGATGCTCAGCGTCTTCAGCTCGGAGTCGTTGTTGATCAGAGTGGTGGGGTTGCCTCCGTCGGGCAGGTCCACCCTTTCGATCTTCTCGTACCGGGGGTCGAGAAGGTACAGCTTGAACTCGTGGACAGCCAGCGCCTTGGGCAACGAGAGGTACTCGGAGACGATGACCCTACGGTTCTGGCCGTCGGTGGAGATAGCTTCAATCTGCGGAGGGAACAAGGTGCTGAAGTAAACGGTCTTACTGGGAATGTCTATCGCTATGGCCTCCAGTCGCTCAGCGTTGTCCACGAGTATCATGGAGTTCGTGCCGTCCATGTTGACTCTGCCGATCTTCATGGGTATTCCAAAGCTGCCCTCGTCCACCCAGAAGATGTGTCCTTCGAGAGGGTCCACGCACATGGCCTTAGGCTTGGCTACTGAGGTCTTGTTGCCGTCGTTGGCTAGGACTATCGTCCGATACCTGATCTTCCCGTCGACCTTGATGGCCTCAATGTTGGACGCGTACTTGTTCCCTATGAACAGGTTCCTGCCCAGCCAGTCGAACGCCATGGCGGACGGCGCGCCCACAATTCCACTGTCTCCGGATGGACTGGGGAACTCCGTTCTGTTGCCTCCGCTGTAGGGAGTCGTGTAGATTGTACCGTTCTCCTCGTCGTCGTCCTTGGTCTGCAGCCAGTAGATCATCCGCTCCTTCCTGTCGTAGTCGATGAACTTCCCTCCCTCGACGCCGACGACCGGGGTTATGTAGCCTGTCTTGGTGCTGCCTGGCACCAGGGAGACGTCTACAATCTGGGAACCTCGCAGCACGATCAAGTAAGGTGTGTCTTCCTCCATGCACTGCCCGCTGGGGAGCAACCGGAACCCTACTTGGCACTTGCAGCTGTAGCCTTGAGAACTCGTCGGCGACAGGAGACACAGGTGCGCGCAGGTGGCGTTCGCGCAGGGGTTGGGCGTGATCGGCTGCAGAACAGGGTGGTGCACGTGGATGGACAGCGGTTGAGAGATCAAGTGCGAGACGACAGTCTGATTGACACCGTAGAACTTGTGCGCCGATAGGACTCTGTTCAGCTGCCTGTCCGTCCAGTACATGGTGTCCTCGAAGAGGGTCAGAGAGTGAGGGTGCAGGAGGTAATGCGAGCTGGCCAGTACCTGAATCCTCTTGGTCCCGTCGTACAGACAGGTGTCGATGAAGTCCAGCTTACTGTCAGCAAAGTATATCCTCTTGTTGGCAATGTCCAAGGCAAGCCCGTTGGGCCAGTATATCTTGGTGTTGATGATGGTGGACCTGTTGGTGCCGTCCATGCCGATCCTCTCTATCCGAGGGTCCTCGCCCCAATCCGTCCAGAACAGCCACCTGGCGCCTGGACTGGGGTCCAGACACATGCCTCTCGGCTGAGTGATGTTCTCCTTGACCAGTATCATCCGACTGGCGCCGGTTTCCTTGGCTACCTCGATGGTGTTCAGCTTGGAATCCAACCAGTACAGGTTCTGACCGATCCAATCATAAGCGAGGCCTTCCACCAGGTCCAGTCCAGTGGATATCACATCCTCAGGGTCCATGCCTCTATCCAACCGCGATATCTTCTTCAGCTTCATATCCGACCAAAAGATCGTACCAGTATGCATGTTGCTGGCAGTCGCCACGACGTTCTCCACGTTGATAGGAACCCTCTCCAGAGCTTGATCCTGCAGATCAGCAACTAGAATCGTGTGCCTATTGGAAATGATCAGAAAAGCTGCGCTGTGGTTGAACGCTTTGCACGTGTGCTTGTCCTTCTCCAGGATGTACCCGTCCACGCAGTTGCAGTAATAGCCTCCCTTGATGTTCGTGCAGAGCTGCGAGCACCGTCCAGGCGTCTCGCACTCGTTCACGTCCTGGCAGTTGTACCCGTTCTTGCTGAGCTCCTCCCCAGGGGGGCAAGTGCACTGCTTGCCCATGGGTGTCTGGATGCAGCCGTTGCTGCAGTAGCCTCCTCTGTACCTACACTCTTGGAAGTCGCAGCCGGGACCCTCGTCCGCGCCGTTAGGGCAGTCAAACTTCCCATCGCACACGCTGGTCAGGTTCACGCAGCGGTCGGTTACCTTAGGGCACTTCCACTGCTGGGAGTCGCACTTGAATTCCGGCGAGGTGCAGGCGTGTAGCTCGGGGTCCTCGTCGGAGCCGTCGCTGCAGTCGTTCTTGCCGTCGCAGATGTACGCCTTGAACACGCAGGCGTCGTTGGCGCACTTGTAGAAGCCCGGCTGGCAGCCGATCAGCCGGCACGGGCCCGGCTCGTCGGACTTGTCCGGGCAGTCGTAGGTGCCGTCGCAGTACCAGCTCTTCGGTATGCACGTGGCCGAGCTGACGCACTGGAACTGCTTGTCAGCGTTGCATTCGTCAGGAGCCAGCGACGGACAGCCCACCTCGTCGCTGCCGTCGTTGCAGTCGGAGATCCCGTCGCACTTGTACGAGTCGAGGACGCACATCTTCTGGTCGGCGCAAGTGAACTGCGTGCTGAGGCAGGTCACGGGCGGACAGTCCATCTCGTCCTGCTGGTCGAAGCAGTCGTTGTCGCCGTCGCAGACCCAGGACTGAGGAATGCAGTGGCCCGACCTGGGACAGGTGAACTGGAAGTAGGAGCAGGTCTTGGCCACGCAGAACTCGCCCTCGTCGGAGCTGTCGCCACAGTCGTTCTCCGAGTCGCATCGCCACGTGCTGGGGATACACCTGTTGTTGGCGCAGGCGAACTGGTTCGCGCTGCACGTCACGTTCGGGCAGTCCACCTCGTCGCTGTAGTCCCCGCAGTCGTTCTCCGAGTCGCACTTGAACGTGATCGGCACGCACCTGCCGCCCTTGCACTGGAACTCGTTCGGCCCGCAGGTGGGCTTGGTACAATTCTGCTCGTCGCTGTTGTCTAGGCAGTCGTTCTCGCCGTCGCAGACCCAAGTGTGAGGCACGCACCTCTGGTTAGCGCAGGTGAAATCCCAGGCGTCCGGACAGGCGTCCACGGGCGGTTCAGTTTCCGGGTCCGGTCTGCAGGTCCTGCCGTTGGGCTGAAGACGCTCGCCGTACGGACAGCCGCAGACGCGAGTCAACCTAGCCTTGCCGTAGCGGTTGGTGTTGTTCTGGGGGATCGCGAAGCACAGTTTCTCGCAGCCGCCGCTGCTGACGAAGCACGGGTGATCGAGGCGGGAGTTCTGGATCTCGCGGCTGAAGACCTTCACGCCGTAGAGCCTGTTGGTAGCCGGTTCGCGGACCAGAATCGCCTCCTGGTCACCGGTCTCCTTGTGAAGCCGGATGATGGCGTCCAGCCGCCAGTCGGTGATGTACATCCACTCGTCGTGGATGGCCATGGAGAAGGGATGCCTGATGAGCCTGGAGTGGACCGTGCGCACGTCCGTGCCGTTCAGGTTGGAGTGCTGCACGTGGTCCAGCAGCGCGTCGCACCAGTACAGTCTGTCCTTGTTGAAGTCGATCGCCAGGCCGTTGGGCCAGCCCAGCGTCAGGTTCTTGAAGACTATCAGATTGGAACCATCGGTGTAAGCTCTGCTGATGTTCGCGGGCCGGTCCCATTCAGAGAAGAAGATGTAACCGTGGTTCGGGTGAATGACGATCGCTCTGGGCCGCTTCAGGTTCTTCAGCAGCGTCCTGCGGTGGGTTACATTCTGAGTGCTCAGGACATTCAAGGTTCCTTTGCGAGAGTCGATGTAGTAGAGGTTCTTCGCTGTCCAGTCAACTGCCAAGCCTTCCACGCCTTCGTTCTGACTAGCCAAGACGATCTCGCGACCGGTGCCGTTCTGGTGGATCCTGTAGATCACGTCCTGCAGAACGTCGCTGTAGTATATATACTGATCATAAGCATCATAGTCCAGTCCCACGAATCTGGCTCTTCTAGAGACCACAGGCAAAATGGCGTCGCTGAATCCCTCCATCACAGGGTCCAGCACTCTGCCCTTGATCAACCTCTGCTGAGAGTACATCAAGAACTCCTGAACCAGGTTGCAGTTCCTCTGGTCGCTAGAGAGCCTCCACCCAATGTCACAGGCGCACCGGTAGCCCAACCTGTTCTCCTGATCGCTAGCCGCAGTTACGATGCACATATGCTGGCAACCGCCATTGTTGTTGCCGCAAGGATTAGACACCTGTCCCTGAATCAGCGGGTGCAGCGCCTTGATGGACTTCGCGTCCCTCATCTTGTACACCGTCTGCAGCGAGTAGTCTCCCTGGTTCTTGTCCATGCTCATGATGGCCTGCTTCGTGCTGTCCGTCCAGTAGATCTTATTCTCGAACAACGTCAGTCTCGTCGGGGAAGGAGTGTGCGATCCTCTGAGCACCATGACTCGATTCTTCCCCATGTAATTCGCAGTCTCGATGTAGTCCAACTGGGAGTCGCACCAGAAGATCCTCCTGGCGATTATGTCCACCGCGACGCCGGATACTTTGTAGGCCGCCTCCGAGATCACCGGGTAAGCGGAAGTGCCGTCCATGTTCGCTCTCAGGACCTGCTTCCCGTCAGCCACGAACATCAGGCCCACCGTGGGGTCCAGTCCGATGTCCGCTGGGTTAGTCAGGTTGGAGCCGAGAGCGATGCCGTGGTACCTGCCGTCCAACTCGAACACGTCGACCTTCGGGACAGCAGAGTCCACGACGTACAGCTTCTCCCCTATCCAGTCCACCGCAACGGCTACCGGTCCCCAGGAGCTCGCCAGCGATATGTCCACGTTCGAGCCTGTGTCCTTGCCGTTCAGCGGCTGGGAGTGTACTTTCCTGGTCTTGACGTCGCTCCAGAAGAGCAGGTCTTTGGAATAGAGGTAGTCCACTCCGCTGGCGCCGGTGGTGTTGGCGACGATGGTCCGGTCCTCGCCGGTCGGGGACATCCTCCAGACAGCGCGCTCCTGAGCGACCAGCAGCTCCAGATTGGCGCCGTCCTCGTGAACTATGGCTCGACACTTGTGCTGGCCCTCGAGCATGTAACCCGGCGCGCAACTGCAGATGTAGGATCCGCCGGTGTTCTTGCAGAGCTGCTCGCAGAAGCCCCATTCCGCGCATTCGTCGCGATCTGCTCAGGAAAAGGAGTACAGAGGTTATTTTGGTTCACTGTCAGCTGGTTGCAATAGGTTGCTAATGTACAGTGCGGTGGATCGATTAGGACAGACGTACCTACGCATGTTCTTGAGTCATTAGCGAGAACCCTACCCTTGGGGCAATAGCAAGCTCCTCCCATAGGAGAGGCCTGACAATTGTACTGACACCTTAGTAAACTACACATGCTGGTCGCTGCAAAGAAACAGAGAAGCGATGAAAATTCGTTGGACTCGTTTCTGTAGGGAATCAAGGCCGACGTTATACAGAGTGTGCTCGACAGACGAGGATCAACGTACCTGCTCTGGAGATCCATTTAAGCATATTAATTAAGGTAGAAGGTTCACCGTTAATAATTGTTAATTCTGTACTGAGTATCAGTGAAACTTATAATACAGTCTAGGCAGCGCAAACCGAGAAGGAAGGAGGAAAGAGATATTTACAGCATTGGGAATCTTCGTCGGCACCGTCCTGGCAATCACGCTTCCCGTCGCACAGCTGGGACCGATCGATGCAAAGCGGTTTGTCTTCTGGCCCACCCTTTGGACAGAGGAATTTATTCCCGGGACACACGGTTACGGTACAGGACTTCTCGTCGGAGCCATCCTGACAGTCCTTATAACCGTCACAGTGATACGATTTCGGTATGCAGAGAGCATTGGCACATCTGAATTGGTTGATGGAGCACGGTTGGAAATCTAAAATAATATTCAAGCGGTAACACGTTAAATACCATGTCAGTCGTTGATGACTGACGCTTCTGAATTACTTGGATACAATCAATTGTCGAATCAAAATGTTTAACCCTTTGCACGAACATTTTCAGTACCTTAATATAGTGAATATCTGTTGCTACTTAGAAATTATTATAATTAGATTTATATTATTTGGTTGAATTATAAATACAAAACATATATTCACTCATCTTGTTCCTATAAATACACCTTTGATATTAATAAGATTTAGAGTTTTAATTGAATCAATTAGAAATTTAATTCGACTATCAGCAAATATACTAGCTGGTCATTTACTATTATTATTAGGATCTTCTATAGGAAACATAACTAATTTTATTCCAGTGATAATTATTTGCTAAAAAGGATAACCGTACAGAAAAGTGGTCAAGATTTTCGTGGCGCTTTAATCCTTTGTCTTACAATGTCAAACAGAATGCAACATGAATATAAAATTCTTCAAATTCATAACATAATTCCTCTACTGTCAACTGTTACACAAATCAAACAAAGACATAGAGTATACCCAAAATTTCCTTTCCAATAAATCATCAATGACAAAGTAGTCATATGATAATTGAGAATACAGTCAGAGCAAGGGGTTAATTAACATTCCAACTCTCCGATTCGAGGCAACGTGAAAAACCAGACATACTGCAATTCTCCTCATCACTGTTGTCCCCGCAATCATCTTTGTAATTGCACCGAGCTGACTGTTCTATGCAACGTTGCGTGGTGTTGCATCTGAACTGGTCCAACCTGCAGGCTGGTTTCGCGTTGTTGCATTTCTCCTCGTCCCGGCCGTTCCTGCAGTCTAAATAGCCGTCGCACTCCTTCTCCTTCGGGATGCAGAGTTCTGGAGTCGTGCCGCCGCATCGGAAGTCGTCGGGCTGGCATTTCCTGTAATCTTTTTAAACATTTCCACCTGTTAAGCTTGTCTACTTGTAAGAGAAACTTAAACGTTCCATATAAACGGATATTTTCAACGGTGTTTTATTCTATAGATAATTAAAACTCACTGCAGCCAGCTTCGTCGGTTCCGTCGACGCAATCGACGGTCATGTCACATCGTTGATGGGGAGGTATGCAATAAGTCTTATTGAAAATATACTGGCCACAGGTAATCTGTCCGGCATCGCAGTCAGGTGGCACTAAAAATCAAATTTAAATTTTAATTAATGACAAGTATGTGTTACATTTTCCTTATTCGTTAGGTACTGAATTGGTATACCAAAGAAAAATTATTCAGTACATTTGAGTACAGTTTTTGATATTTTCTAATTTATTAGAATTTCAGAAGCAACTTAACTTTTAACTTTTAACATTTCAGAAGCTATAACATTTATTTTCTCAATCTTTGTCTCTTGAACTTCAAAATGACAATGTTTTGAAGCCTTACTTTTTATAACTTTTGAATATGATGCACAATCATTTCAGAAGCTATAACATTCATTTTCTCAATCTTTGTGTCTTGGACTTCAAAATAATGTTTGTTTTGAAGCCCTTCTTTTTATACTATTTCAATATATTGTACAATCATTCCAAAGCTACAACATTCATTTTCTCAATCTTTGTTTCTTGAACTTCAAAATGACAATGTTTTGAAGTCCTACTTTTTATACCTTTTAAATATATTGTACCATCATTTCAGAAACTGTAACTTTCATTTTCTCAATCTTTGTTTCTTAGACTTCAAAATAATGTTTGTTTTGAAGTCCTTCTTTCTATAACTTTTGAATATATTGTACAATCATTCCAAAGCTACAACATTCATTTTCTCAATGTTTGTTTCTTGAACTTAACCACATTAGCCTCTAAGCGACTCATATCTAATTACATTCGTAGCAGTAATGACAGATGATTTTCCTATTCCCTCGACTCTTTTCATTTCACCGTCAGATACTCCTACTGTTTTATCGTTCCCGACAACGTTACATCATTCTCAACGTTCAGATACAGCGTTCTATAAACCGTATTGTCCGCTCGGGCAAAAACGTCGAAAAAGTTACGCAATGCCCTGTGTTCACAAGTCCTGCGTGAAACACGTTTTTCCTTCGGATCCATTTCCCGGGAGAACGTCGCGTGAACCGGAAGCGAATCAAAAGGTACTACAACACTTCCTCCCGGATGTGCATCTGTCATCGCGCGTGATGCTCGATCGTCTTCGCCGTGGCAACGGTGCAAAAAATTATGAAAAATATCAGTACAATTTATCAACAACATATACATTTGTTTTTCAATTATTAACCCTTTGAAGAGAGGTGAAAATTAGATGAAATTTTCATGTTTGGAAGACCAAGTCGCAGAGAAATGAATTATTGAAACAGCAAGATATTAATTAACCTTCTACCTTACAATAATGGGAGACTCATGAAAATTTTCAATAGAATTTAACAAACATAAATATTACTCAATTCTTCTCAACTCAGATGAAATATTTTTTCCCTATCAATTATTATATTTTAGAGCAAAGCTCATAGAGTATGCATTTTTCTCTTTTTGCAATTAAAAGTCTGCAACTAATTTTTATGGTATCCCTAGCGAAAATGGAAAATGCTATAAGATTTCTTAGATCTTTTATTTTCCTTCTCAGTAGAAAATTTGGACGTATGAAAAATCTAATAATTGTAGGGTAGTTTCTTTAAGGTTCATTAAAATATTTAATACTACAATATTGAAGCCTATAGAGTTCAAAGGGTTAATTTTCAGTAGGACTACTATCAAAATTAATAGGAGTTGCTGACATATCACGAAACTATGTAAAGTGTTAAGGGAAGATGATCCTGTAGAACTTACAGCACGACTGGAACTCATCCTCGGAGCTTTCGCAGTCTTTTTGATAATTGCACACCGAGGTGACCGGTATACAGGTGCCGTCCAGACATTTGAAGTTGTAGCGGCCGCATCCGGTGCCATCAGCTGGAACAGAAAGAAACAGGGATTCGCTGTAATTCGTTGGCAACGGTTCGAACGTAGTAGGTTTAGGACGGAGCGTGACTCGATGCATCTGTGGCGTGATAGGTGAAAGGTTCAAATGCATAGTGGCAGTTTCCTCTGTAGGTGCACCGCGACTGGGGGAATCCCGGGCCACGAGCGCGCTCGAGAAGATCCGTTTCGAGCTTCTTTTCTTGCTTCACCAGTTAACTGTGTTTCACGAGTATACTCGTCATGGTAAAAAGTACTGACCATTGGCTTTTCACGGAAATTACAATTGAACCCTTTGCACTCGAAGCTTTTTCTCACTGACATTACCAGTAACTGGATGAAATTTTGATAGAAGCGTATTAACATATAAATGAATGATACAGGCAAAAGAAAAGTATAGATGTATTTTACCGTCTTTTGTCGATTATAAATATTATAGTACATTTAATGACAGAATTTTACAGTTTGTAATGACAAATTTTAAATGGCTCTGCTCCGGAGCCCTCGAGTGCAAAGGGTTAAATAGCGAATGGTCACTACTTTTCACAGAAATTACAATTTAAATAGACAATGGTCACTATTTTTTATAGAAATTACAATTTAAATAGCCAATGGTCACTATTTTTTACAGAAATTACAATTTAAATAGCCAATGGTCACTATTTTTCATAGAAATTACAATTTAAATAGCCAATGGTCACTACTTTTTACCATGACGAGTATACTTGTCAAACACAGTTAACTGGTTAAGGTGCAACACCCCTAATTTCCACTTGATATTATCGAAAACATTTAATATAATGAGTCCTTATTTCTTTCAATATATAATCCTTGACACAATGACTGTCACGGTGATGATCGATGACCAAGAAATTACTAGAAAACAATGGCAATAAGAAAATCGACGTCGAATACAAATCTTTACAGAAGCAGTTAGATAATAGTGTAATGGTAATTACTTCTTAATTTCTTATTGCCTTTGTTATGGAAGACTAAGTATTTCTATACAAAATGCTCGAAATTCTCGTGTTAAATCCTCTCAATTATATTTTGTTCAATTCAATAAATCTAAACAAACTATTGGAACGAATGGAGCTGAGACGAGTCATTGAATCCCTAAATGTAATTTCGTAGCTTGTAAACTGAAATTAATCTTATATCTATGGGATTGATTTCAGTGACGTGTCGAACGAACCGAATTTTGTTGAACGTACGAGAAACTTCGAAATTTCGAAATTTCGAAATTCGATTCAGGTGAAAACCACGGTGTTATCGATCGAAACTGGCCCGATCGATCGGCCGCGAGCCTCTAAGTGGCCAATTAATCCGTAGAAAATCGTTGGATATGCTCGAAAAGCGATGAAAGTCTCGCCTCGCCGAGAAAGATGACAGCCGCGATTAACTTAACTGAACGACGCTTCGAGAGGGATTTTGCTTCAACTGGTTCGAACGAAGACGACCGGCCCAATTAAGAGCTGCGTTGCTTTTCTTCGAAAAGGAAACGAGCAACGATTTCGAATTTCGTTCGGGTTTTCCAATAGTATGTGCAGGGTGGTGGAAAACTATCTATTTGTACAGTAAAGTAGTAATAGTAAATTATCAGTCGCTTAGAAGCCAACGCAGTTAACTATAACTATAGCAACTTCAAGAGTGCCCTCATCGAGACATTAATTGATTGATAATTCAGTACACGTGTTACTAAATCAATTTCTTGAATAATCTCTTCGAGAAACATCTGTCATCCTTTTAATAATTGCAAAATCATTCCTTTTAATAGTTGCAAAATAATTAAAAGAAACACTGAGAATATTAATGTTGTGTAATACATTGATTTTGAAAATTCAATAGAATAGTAACAATAGAATATTATGTATCCCATTGAAATTTGCAAAAATCAGAAAATACAAAACAATACTTTGTGAAACACCATCGTTTCACAAAGAAACTGCTCGAAGACTCATTAGTGGAGCATCCTCGCAACATTATTAGAAGAAATCTAAACGCGCGAACGCTCAGCGAAATCCGGGGAATCCCGAACAGCTTTTCCGTCGACGCAGAATCGTCGATAATCACGTTCGCGTACAGGCAATTACGCGTGATTGGCAGAGAATTGGAAAAAATCACGTTTCCGGTAAACATCGGCAGATATTATCTAATTCGCTAACCCGCTTTCTTCTTTTTCCTCGTGCCGCGAGAGAGAAAAAAGGGGGAAAAACGTTCTGTTTTCGCGCGGCGTGTTATTTCTACCGGATAAAAAGGATGAAGAAAGAACATCGGCCGCGGATGGGAGACAGAACGGTACCGGCTGGCACCGTGCAGATAGAATCTCAATGGAATCTAGCTGGAATCGGTTATCTAGCACATTCCCTGGCCGCCGTATATGTGCATCCTCTCAAGGATAACATCGACAGGACGCTTAACCTTTCTCGTTCGATGACGTACCTTCGATAACAGAAGCTTTTACGGGACGCAATTATACGGATTACGAAATCCGTTTTCGAGTTGATTTTGAGCTACAATTATAACGCATTCTCGCTTGCCGCTGCGTGTCCTAGATACATGTGCGTTTTCTTCTTAACACTAGAACTACCGTAACAGTCAAAATCACTGGTTTCAGTTTTTCTGTTTCGAGATTATTGATATCTTTAGAGCATTGAATATTCGAAATGATTTTGAAAATAAATAGTTTCATTTGAATATAATAATGATACAATATTCATAGCGATTACATGTCAATCGTATCAATTGCTCGGCAGTTCTAGTGTTAACAGGTTGCGTACCGGTAACGAGAAATCTTGTTTTTATATGAAAACAGTTATGGAACTTCGCTAATTACCACAGTATTGTCAAAAATATAAAATTTGATTCCAATTGATTATCTATTTGAGATATATTACATGACAATATGATATCTAAGTTCTTCTATGTATAGTGCACAATTCAGTTTTCAATTCATTGCAGGTCTCATTGGAGAGCTTTCAGTTTTTAATTTTTGATACTAGTTTGCTGTTGATCAGTATGTTACACTTAGTTAATGAATACTTTGCTCTACAATATCGTCTTGACGAAGATGACAAATAGAAATTAACACTAGATCTACCAGTCAAAATGACTGGTTTCAATTGTTCTGTTTAGCAATTACTGATATATTCAAAGCATTGAATATTCAAAGTGACTTTGAAAATAAATAGTTCCAGTTAAATATTATAATGAATGTCTGAAAAAACCGACAATAATCTATTACTACAATATTCATAGCGATTACATTTCAATCGTATCAAATGCTCGGTAGTTCTAGTGTTAACAAAGGACAAATAAATCCTAACTATCGACAGCTTAAATTAAGTATTATTTCTGTACTAATATTATTATTTCTAATTATAATATTACTATTTCTGTAATAATATTATTTCTGTTATTAACTGTCACTCTTTCAAGTGAACGTGGATATAAATGCGGAATTCTCCTCTGTTTCTATTATTATTAACCCTCTGCCTAAACAGTTTCATTTCTATAACGAAAAAGAATTACTTAAGGATAAAATAAAAAGAGAATTTTACAATTTGAAGTTAATCATATGAGATCAGTAATGCAAACTATGCCTAGCAGAGCCAACATAGAGCAAAAGGTCAATGACAAATTCTTTAGTGTAGCAATCAGCTAAATCCTAGGTCAAGGGGTTGAAACAAATAAAATCCCTAACAATCCCTTGCCTCTCCATTATGGAGCTCTTCTCAACAACAGGAATACAATAACTATGTAATTCGATTTAACCCTTTGCAGACGAATGTCGACATATTGGTGACATGAAATTTTCATGTTTCTAGCACTGAGTCGCAAACAAATGATCGAATTACTAAAACAGTAAGAGATCAACACAGTTTCTGTTTTTCCTATTATTTAAGCAATTAATATATAATTTAGCTTCAAAGAATCTTCGTTCGCAAAGAGTTAATCCTATTTACCTAGACATATTCGCAACGCATCATTCCTCAGCTACGTTTACCCTAAACATAATCGCAACGAACTTTCCCTGTACTCTAACTATATTCGGAACAAAATCATTATGCTCCCCGCGCGCGAGGAGGAGCACGGATGCCAAAGGAAGCAACGAAGGTTATGTTTTTCGTGACAGACCACCGTGACGATACGAAAGTATTCCGAATATTTCCACCGTCCGGCGGCACGCGATTCATAAATATTTCAGCAATCCCTGATCCACGGTTTAACGACAAACGAGTTCCCGGCGAGCCAGCCGGCGATATCGCCGAAAAAACCGGCGGTTCGACGTCACGGGGACGGCGTCTCGCGTCGCGCGTGCCGCTGTACCTAAACACGCCCGACGAAATGTTTAACGCTCTGGCTGCTGAGTAAACACTCATCGAAACTGTCGTTCATACGCAGTCGAAACTGTTTCCTTCGTTAACCCCTTGTCATGTAATCACTGAGACAGATTTCTAGATTAATTCAAAACTTGTTCAATGTCCATGGTTCAAAGCAAACTGTTGTGCTATTATCAATTTATCTTCTAATGAAATTCTAATTTTAAATTCTAATGAAATATTATATTATTTGTATCAATATCATAGCAAATTGTCGACAGTCAAATGTTACAAGTTTAGAGAAAGTAAATACAAGGTGTCAAGCAGAAACTAAAGTCTACTAAACCAAAAGAGAAATAAACTGTTGTGCTATTATCAATCTTCAAATGAAATTCCTACTTTTATGGACAATTAAGTCAATTACCAATATTACTTGTATCAATATCATAGCAAATTGTCGATAGTCAAACGTTACAAGCTCAGCTCAAGTAAACACAAGGTGTCAAGCAGAAACCAAAGTCTCCCAAACCAAAAGAGAAATAGAACAATCATTACAAAGAACCTTAATTGCTCTATCTTTCTAAATCTCATCCAATCACCAAGGATCCTCGCGTCCCGGTTTACTCAAAAATCAGTCCCAAACTCGGCGACGCAGCAGTCAAAGTGTCAAGCCATCAACAGAGCAAACACAAAGAAGCAATAACAAACAGCGGAGCCGTGCAAGGTAACAATCAAACTAAAGAAACCGAGCAGCGTTTTTTGCCATCCACTCTGATATACCGGGTGAACACGCCTTAGACTCTCATTGTCAGCGTGTTCGTCCCCTTCGGGGACTCCCTTGGGCCAGAGGTTTCTCATATTCGTCTATCTAACGAGTTTTCTCATCTCGCAGGCTAACGCGCTCACGCGCGCGCGCTTCGTGAACGAAGGTGGGCCGTGTATGTGTCACGGATAGGGACACAGCTTGGTGCAAGCAGGCCGCGCGAGAAAACGAGAGACGGAAAAAGAGCGCGCGCGCGGAGAGGCAGGGGAGAGAGGCGGCGAGTGCACCGCTCGTACCAGGCGGTGCTCCCTGGTACCGACGGCAGGCACAGCCAGGCCGGCAGAGACTCGAACAGACTCGGTAAGACTCGATCAGAGAAGTCGAGGAGGAGAGGAGAAG